TCCTTGTTCTAATTTATTGCCCTGCACTGAAGTAGACAGCTATACAGTGAAGAGCTCTTCCCTTTATCTTGCCATTGCTGATAACTTGATCACTGCCACATTGCAGTAACCTCTTCCTCCTACCTGTTTGCAAGAGATGCTCAGGTTTGCCTTGCCTGTATGTTGCTTTTGAAGGTGAAAAATGAAAGTCTGAATAATTGAAATTTGGGGCATCTGGCACAAATATGATATGATTTGAAATTTAGGTTTTATTGTCCAGCTACAGATAAATATGAAACAGTTGGTCATGATCTGTCTCTTACTGATTGACAAGAGCATGCTAAATTCTAGAATAGTCTGTAGTGAATTAAATACTATTTGATTGGATACAGAGAAATATAAAACAGATGGGAGGCAGGAAAGGGGAGAAAAAACGTGCGAGTTAGTAGGAAAATCAATTCTGCCAAAGCTGTGGGAATTGTAGACATTATAAGTCGCTATATATCTGTTTCATGTACGTCTAAAGCTCGTGTAGGTTGGGGAAGAAATGAGCATACATTATGCTTTTTGTTAGCCTAGCTGAAGTTGACCTGCTAAATTTTCAAGCAGGCATCATCCATTCATATAATTAAATGTCCATGTTGTTTTGTCAGGGGTGTGTTTTGATCCCATCTCTTGGTTTAATTTATTGCACATCTAATGGACATGTTCAGGTGACATGGTGCTGAAGTCAGCTGCTCCCCTTAACTGACTCATCCCATGTGCCAGCAGTGCATAATTGCCAGTGCCTGGGAATAATCATTTTATAAGTTCGCTTAGCCACCTGATATTATATGCTTCTCTCTCTCTCTCCCTCTCCCTCTCCTCTCCCTCTCTTTTCTTTTTACTGAAAAGGGGAGAAAGCCCACACAGTATCTTGATGGAGATTGGCATTATGATAGACACAGGAACCATTCCATCCCAATCTCTTTCTGCTCCCTTTTCATCCCTGTGTGGTTGTGACGGCCAAACAGTAAAAAGATGAGAGGTCATAGAAAAAGAAGGAATAGGTGATCCAACTGGCTTGATTGTTGGCAATTAGTTTAGCCTCAGGCTTAACCCTAACCCCACTGAGTTCATTTCCATAGTTAGTTGCCTGGGTTAAGGTATTTGTACAGCTCTCCCTTGACCCAGTTAAACATGTTCTGTGAACAGATCCAAAAAACATTGCAAGGTTCACATCCCATAGATGCAATCATTCATGTATAAGCAGCATCCATTTTTATTAACAATTTCACATCTGTATCCGTGCATGCTTACCCCAAAATACACATCAGCTATTTTTAACTTCATTTTTCCAATGAATTATTTTTCCTTTGTTGTTGTTGCTTATTGTGCAGCCAGCTGAGAAATGTTAACATCTTGCTCTAAATCTCTCAGTGGAGTCTCTGTTCCCTTCTCTGATATAACAGATGGGTTATTGCTTGTTATAATTATTAACATTTGTGGTGTGGGACAGGGCTAGGGTGGGAGGTTTCTTTTTTATTCTGGGGTACATGGGAATTGTTTAAGATTTGGAATGTTAACTCCAGTGGTGACTGACTGTTTATGTAATAGCAGGTCGTTGTGGCTGCACGCTCTAGTAATTGAGGCTGTGTACTTCACTGAGCTTGTGGTAGAGCCTAGGGCAGACTGCTGTCCCAAGAGAATGCTGGGATAGATAGAACTAGCCAATATGAGTCTGAACGTGGTGACTTTGCTGGTTGTTTTTTAGTTCCAAATGTCAGCATGCTTAGTTTTGTTTTCATTTTAATTTAATTAATAAATGTGACACCATTTCCCACCCCAATTCCAGTCCTTTTTTTTCTTTACAAGAAATGCAAGTTAAAAAGACTTAAATGGGAAAAACATCTTTAGTTTCAAACTGCATCTTGTCCTCATATTCACAGTTGGGCTGAACTCAGCTGATTATCTCAAATGTCAAATTTAAAAAATTATGTTGGGAATGGAGCACACTGGGCACGTTATGAGACAAGCTGCTCAGCAATCAATGTTGCCAAAGACAAAGATGAATATGCCTGAATATCAGATGTGTTGAAAGTTCTGCAATCTGGATTTTTTTTTAATCAAGAAAAGGGATGCCAGTATGTCTGAAGCTTTGCTGTAGCAAAGCTCCTTGCTATAAAATTCTTTTTCAGTTACTAATAATCAGTAGAATGAGATTAATAAAATGCTAAACAAAGTCAGAATAGAGACAGTCACAAGGAGAAGCAACAGAACAGTTCTTCGTTTTGTGACAGGAGGGCGTTTGAAATGGTGGCTAATTTCAGAACCCTGTAAGTCTACCATTGCTAAGTAAATCTGAAAAAATCTGGGGAAAGTTCCCCTTCCTCCTCTCTAAAAAAACCTCTTAAGGTTAAACATTTTAAGATCTCTTTCCTTTAAAAAAGAAAAGAAAAGGAACCTCTATATTCTATAGTAATTGCTATAGATTTCCCTGTCATGTAATAGCTGGATAGAGAGAAGATAACACTGTGTTCATACTTAGTTTACATTCATGGAAAATCTGTTCCATACCATGAACACATCTGCATTTTAATTCCCAGTTCCTCCTCTACAGAACTCAGTAAAGCAAATAAAAGCCAGACACTTGAAATGGTAATTACAATTACTTGATACAACAACTATTAATGGTTGATACAAGTATTAAGGAAGGAGAAAATCACTTCTCTGGATTTTATACCCTTATGGCTGATTCCAGTGCTTGATAATTCCACTTGGGTCTGAAATAATAGAAAATACAAAGAAGGTAAAACAGTATATTTCAGTGAGCCAACCTAGACTGGCTCACTGAATGAGTATGAGTCTTTTTTGAGTTTCAGAGGAATCTTTATTCATCGTCACTAAGAGATTGTTTTACAGGTTTTGTATTTTTTGCTGATTGTCATAACATTCAGTCTTCTAAGGTTTAACACTATTTTTAAAGCTAATTGTTAACTGTTAAAATTTCAAGACTAATTATTTGCTGCCATGACTTCCAGTCTGTGAAGGCCTTTTATTATGTTATGTGAGATGAAATTTCCTGAAGAGAGAAATTTCCATGCACAGGATTTTTATAGTTTAAAGCTTTGTTATTGTTACATCAGTTATCTTAAATACACTATTTCTGCATTGAAATTACAATGAAATGTGCAGCTATCTGCTTTCGTTTCATAATGATTGCTCTGGTCACCTATTGCAATCTTGTGTTCTTAAAGATTATTTTTAATTCCCCAAGCAGTGGTATAATTGATACAGCACCAAAACTAGATTGTTTCATAAATTCATTCTTCCAGCATCCAACTGAACTACAGATTAAAAGGAAACATCATGTTTCTGAATAGTAATGATAAAATAGCCAATAGCATGCTGGGTACTCTGTAATATGAAGAACTGAACACTCCCTTCTGAGAGAATTTCTTTTTAAGACAGACCCACTAAAGTTAGTTCTATGCAAGACTGAGGAAATGAGCACATTTGTAATTTTGAGAACATGTCATGAACGTTCTCACAAAATGGCTATTTTGAAAGCTTGCACATTTACTAAATGGCTGTCATGGTGGACATGGACCAAGTAAAATAAGTAAGTATACACATATATATTTATGTTTACCAGAAGACAAACCCCTCTAGCCATTCCCCCCTCCCAGATGCTCTGTGTGTCCAAAATATCTTTTTCCTAGGGGCAGGTGGATATGTGCACATTTTCAAAAAAAAAAAATACTGGGCTATAATCTAAGAAATTTCTGATTTATTAGATTACCCTTTGAGCTTATTTTAGGCCCAGATACATTCTTATAAAGACAGATCCAGTTGCTTTGTACCATACTAACTTCTTATTTTTTAAAAAAAATATGATAGATATGAAATAATTAAAATCGGAAGGAGCAACAAGCAGCCTCCCCCCTTGTAGGAAATGTAAGAAACAGGACTGATTTTTACTGAGACAGGATTTTGATATCCCAGGCACAGGACAAAATAAAAGGAAGGGCATTTGTAGCTAAATGAAAACTCTTAAAGGTTAAACATTAAAACCTGATTTTACAAAACCAAGCAAGTGCCATTACAGAGACTTTGACAGAAAAAAAGATCATGATATAACAGTGAATTTAGAGCCATTAAGTTCTAAATTAAGTGAAGGAATTGGCAAGGAAGGGATTGCAGGAGAGAAGATTATCAGGAATATGTTGCTTAAGTTATTGGAGATATATAGAGCTTCATCTAGACAGTATTTATTTAATTTCTATAGCCACCCATCTCAACCAAGTGACTCTTCTGTTCAGAGGTCATTTTAATATGCCTGCCTTATATGGAATTCCTTTCCTACTTTATGTTTAGCTTGTGTAGATCTTTGATTTTAATTTATAGCCCTGGAAACCTCTTAGAAGATCTATTATGGACAACTCTTCTTATGCATGACTATGCAAAAAATAGTAACTTACTTTGGGCATGGTGACATTAGTTGCTTTGTTTTTCACTTATCACCATTCTTGGTTTAGCTAACCCAAACAATGACTAAGAAGCCAATAACCTCTGTTAATGATTTGGACAAATACTGGAATGTTTTGTCACAAATAATTAACAATCAAATTGTACAATCTCTTGAGAGGTTTATGTTATAAAATAAGTTCTGATTAAAATTATAATTGTGGGTAACAATGTTTTCCTCCCATAGGCATTATTTTATATTAACTATGGTCAGGGTGGGCTGAAGAGATGCATCAGCATCTTCATTTTTTATATTCTTGTTGATAAATTGACCTACAAGTACTATGTTAGGACAGCCTTTTCCATTTGATTTGCTTACTGATACAGGACTTTTCATCAGGTACTGTGTTGGGGAGATAGCAAAATATAGGTGGATCAGGGAATGCTTTCATAATGAATTGTGACATGGGAGTTGATGCAGTTTGAAACAGTTCCTCTGTACATGTGTTGTATATATCACTCCACTTTGTTTAAGGAGAAAGGTATCTATAAAATCAGTTCTTTTTTTCCTGCAGGGTGGATACGCAGCCTACAGATATGCGCAGCCCGCTACTGCAACAGCAGCCACTGCTGCTGCAGCTGCTGCAGCAGCTTACAGTGATGGGTATGTAAGGAAAGGCATGGTGTTGATGTATCTGGAACGTTTTCCATTTCAACAGTACAGTACATTTCCTCATGTTCCTCAGTATTCATCCTAGCTGCAAATGCCAAAAGCATTACCTCAAGTTTTATAGCTAGCAATTGTTAAGTGAAAATAAATGTTATAAGCCTACGGTTTTATGTATTTCCAAGTGAGGTACTTGGGTTTTGCAATCATGCAGCAAGTCAACCTTGTTCTTGTTTCTGGGCAAGGCAGAGTAGATTGTCTTTAGGGTTGCAGTCTATAGTCCTGTTGGCATTTGTGCTGTTTTAGAGTGCAACCAACAACCCCAATCATAGCTTTTTTTCTCCAGCCCCCTGCTCTGGATCTGATGATGGAAAGTGGCTTACAAATTGAGAGAAGGTAATGTATTGGAGATGAATTATACTATGCTGCCATACTTGTGAAATAATCTGTGGCCACACAAATCAGGCATTATTGACTTATACCACATTGGTCACCACAAGTTATGTAGCTCAGCATAATTGTTCTCTAGAATCACAATCATTAAGCCAATCTGAAAATGGGACCATTTGAAAAGGCTATATACACTTTTTTAAAATTAATTTTTATTTTTTTTAATTACCAAAAAAAGGAAAAAAATACATAAATGTGCTTTAACATAAAAGTGAAAAAATACAGCAACAAAAAAGTTAATATATCATTATAATGGTACACAGTTCCAATTCTATAT